AACTCCTAAATGTACTCCTAATTGTGGAATAAAATGTTATCAGGGTTAGTAATGATTAACTAATATGAGATCAGTAATTTATATTAGTATACTGGATCCCTAAATGTTAATGATCCACTGATTTGAGTGAATCAGTAATTATAACATGGATTCAGGCTATAATGGACGGTCTGCTGACAGCCATATATTGAAACATTGGTATAGCCTAAATGGTTAACACTTAATTGGTGTTGGTGATTAATATAAGGTTATGAGCTGTTGCTCTTGGTGACCTAAGGATTCTACTTCTGTATGAAGTGTAGGTCTAAATGTTGTGGGTACTTGGTTATGACCCACTAAAGCTATGTAAAGGTAGCTGTTAGTGTGATCTAGGCTAACTGGTGTGTTACACTGTTAGTTGACACAATTAATTAAATAGTTAGTCTAGTTACTATCACACAAGGATTAGTTATTAATGGTTAATATTTTAATTATAAATTTAATGCCTATCCGGTTCGATAAGGACCATAATGTGGGATATTTGGGTTTGATTCTGATTAATTAATAATCAAAGTAGTAAATTAAATTACGAAGGACCACCCGCTTTTAAAGTAAAGAGGGAAACTGAGAATTTCAGATCATTAGATAAAATTCTAGAGAAGACCAGTGACTATAGATATGACTAGAAAGTATGATCATAAGAATAATTAATGGGCTGTATTATTAAAACCAAACCTCAAACACCTACATTGGGGGGTTATTACTGGAGGTCAGTACGTCCAGGAATCAGTGTGGTTCGTTCACTAATTCTATTAATAATAATCTAATCCTATAATTAATGTTGAATATAATATTATTCATACAAAGAAGAATATGAATATGTGCATAATAATGAATTACAGTAAATCACACATTATGTTGAAAACATTCTGAATGTATCAAATTGCAATGTTATGAGTAAAAGAAATAAGCCTTAGCTGGTAATAGATTCCTTTAGATAACCCTGGCAGTCCTCTTAATCTCCAAGTCTGGTACACCGACGTCTGACACGGTTAACATGGAGAAGACAGCATGAGGAATTCGTCTCTCGAGCTGCAAAATAAATAACTACCAGTAGCAATTGATTTAACTGCTCAATACATATTCAAGATTATTAATGTCTACAGATAGAATTCTAATCACCTGTTATTAGGTGTTGTCGTGCCGCGTAACGCGCAATCACCCCGCTATTGTTAAACCTGTAAATGATGCATCAAATAAAAGGTACTTAGCTGTGGGCACTGTGTAAGTATTAAGATTGCCGTAATTTCGCATCCCAGGCTCCGGTGAACCTATCCTGGATTGATGCGTTTCAAGTTGGCTGATCACGTGTCGTCAGGAACCAAGTCTAGGGGTCCCTTATTTAACACCAGCACTAGTTGAAGATATTATCTGCAAGGTCGTTCACGCCTCACAGTGGCGGCTTTCATCTGTAGATAGACACACGTGTCCTATTTGCTGGACAATGGCGTCTTTTGTGAGTACGGTAAGCGTGGCTTTGCCTCCTTCTGGCCTTGCACGTGTACGCGTCCCGACCCTCACCCAGAGTATGGCGTCGCGTCCCTCCCCCCACGCCGAGTCGACGTTCATTACACAAATTATTGGCATGAACATTAATATTTCTCGCATTCGCGCTTGAGACTCTAAAGACTGGACGGGTTTATTATTTAGAGGAACGAAATATTATTATTTAACTATTTAAGAATAGTAAAGATACAAGGGAGAGGAATTAATGTCTCCCCATAGCATTCATTGATGACGTTAACACTATCGCGAGGTAGACGGTATAATTCTAACGCTCTATTCGGCTTTTAGTTAGAGAACAATTCGTCTGCAATCAGTTGTCATACAGAATGCCTTAATTATGGAGAATCGTATTTAATTCTCACACAAATTGTATATAATGCGTTTTACTGTAAAGAAATCTGACGCAATACTGGCGTCAGATGACGTGAGAATTCTAGCCTAATGCACAGATGAATTATTAGTACAGGAGAATTCTACGAGTTGTTAATTTTACTTACTACAATATTAATATGGTTAGTAATAAATAATGAGAATACAACAATGCTGTATTCGATGTTGGAAATATCCAACAGGCGGATAGGTAGTCCAATGGTCAGGTGTTGCCTCGGGGCAGGTAGCCGGCGACAGCTTAGGTATTGAGGGTCTCAGGCCTGGGGCAACTTAAGTATTAGAAGTCATACTGAGATGGTTCGGTTGATTTGTGTAAAACAGCTCTGATGACTCATTTAATATAAAGGAACTAACATTACGAAGTCAAAAAATTAATAGTTGTACGGAAATATGAACGAACAATATCAAGATAGGGTTGATGGGGTGTGAGGTAGGGGGTGTAAGGTAACAGGTAGGGGGGAGGGGCGGGTAAGATATTATGGCGACACTAAGGTAAGATTACGGTTGTGACTTGGCGGCGGCGTCTGGCAGGGGGGTATGAGGTATGAACAGGTGACGCAGGGGAGGGAAGAGAGTGAGAGGTAAGGTGGCACGGGGGTGGAAGGGGCTGGCAAGGTAATTAATGACGTCTCATGTAGCCGGATATTGCTACATTTTACTTATATAGACATACTCGTTTGTAGTTAAAATTTCTACTTAAAAGAATTCAGTCTAAAATATCTGTTTATGACGGTAGAGTTTATTTTCAGTTAGAAATGAAAAATTTGAATTTCTCACATAAGAATTCTTAACAAACTTCTAAGATGTCCAATTTTTTTTTTCTAAATTTCGGTCTTACACTCTTAAATAAACTTCTATGAATATATGAACTTTGATAAATTTTGAATTTCTCCCATGAGAACTCTTAGCAAATGTCTAAGATTGGTAAGTATTTTTCCGAAAAATTTAATTTATAAGGAAACCCTACAGTCAATGAGTGACTGACTCAATATACATGCAATCCCTGACAGTCCAGCGGTGACTGCTACCTGGAACGCCCAACAGTCCAGCAATGATTTTCCCCCAAAAAACAAAAATCATTCATAGACTGTCAACCCTACTATTGAGTGGCCCCACAAGCACTCGGGTTGAAGGGCAGAGTGGTCCCACAAGCACTCGGGTGGAAGGGCAGAGTGGTCCCACAAGCACTCGGGTGATGGGCAGAGTGGTCCCACAAGCACTCGGGTGATGGGCAGAGTGGTCCCACAAGCACTCGGGTGATGGGCAGAGTGGTCCCACAAGCACTCGGGTGATGGGCAGAGTGGTCCCACAAGCACTCGGGTGATGGGCAGAGTGGTCCCACAAGCACTCGGGTGATGGGCAGAGTGGTTCCACAGGCACTCGGGTGGAATGGTAGAGTGGTCCCTCAATCACTCGGATGGAAGGATAGAGTTGCCCACAAGCACTCGGGTGGAAGGCCATAGTTGTCTCACAAGCACTCGGCTGAAGAGCAGAGTGGTCCCACAAGCACTCGGGTGATGGGCAGAGTGGCCCCACAAGCACTCGGGTGATGGGCAGAGTGGCCCCACAAGCACTCAGGTGAAGGGCAGAGTGGTTCCACAGGCACTCGGGTGGAAGGGTAGAGTGGTCCCTCAATCACTCGGATGGAAGGATAGAGTTGCCCACAAGCACTCGGGTGGAAGGCCATAGTTGTCTCACAAGCACTCGGCTGAGGAGCAGAGTGGTCCCACAAGCACTCAGGTGAAGGGCAGAATGGTCCCACAAGCACTCGACTGAAAGACAGAGAGGTCCCATAAGCACTCGGGTGAAGGGTAGAGAGGCCCACAAGCACTCGGCTGAAGAGCAGAGTGGTCCCACAAGTACTCAGGTGGAAGGACTGAGTGACCCACAAGCACTCGAGGAGAAGGGCAAAATGGTCACACAAGAACTCAGGTGGAAGGGTAGAGTGGGCAACAAGTACTCGGGTGGAAGGGCAGAGTTGTCCCACAAGCACTCAGGTGGAAGAGCCGAGTGGTCCCACAAGCACTCGGGGGGGGGGGGGATGGACAGTATGGCCCCACAAGCACTTTGGTGGGAGGGCAGAGTGGCCCCACAAGCACTCGGGTGAAGGGACGAGTGGTCCGACAAGTACTCGGGTGGAAGGGAATAGTGGGCCCAAAAGCACTCGGGTGGAAGAGCAGAGTGACCCACAAGCTCTCGGGTGGGAGGGTAGACTGGTCCCACAAGCAGCGTGTTTTTATATACATGCTATATAGATGTCACGTCTGTGACATCTATGTACTATGACTTACACACAGAAAGTAATAAAGTAAAGGCGAAGAGGTAGAACAGTCTATTGACATAGCTCGGGTGCTTAGGAGAATTGCGTAAAACCCTGGTTTGTGTCTCGGAGAGACTGCTGGAACCTTAATAAATCAGGATGATTACCCAGGTTGCAATTCTTTTACCATGTCGTAGCTCAGTCGACTAAGGCAGCGTCTGGGATCCTCTCGGACATAGGTTCGAAACCTCGTCACGGCCCTTGTGGATTTGTTCGATATTATTATTACTCATGTTTGTGGAGGAAGTACACAACACACACGCGATAATATCGTAAAGTGAGTCTATTGTGTTTGGCCTTTAGTGACTGGAGCGAGTCGCTTTGAACAGACGACATTTATATGTCTCTCTGTCACGCTCTCCCTCACTCACTCACTCTTTTTATTTCTCTCTCTCTCTCTCCTTTCTTTAATTCGGATTCAAGCAATAATTGCTATGTCGTGACGTCTACTGATACATTTTGCTACACTAACATGAATATTAGGGAAATAAGAAAGGTGATTAAACGAGCTAAATAATCGTTGCGTGTCAAACTGTCCATGATCGTAGACTTTCTTGCAGTAAATATTGACACTGCTGTCTCGTGTCTGTACGAATTCTGCTGGTTGGGCGATGACGCATTCCTGCGCATGTCCCCGTGTCTAATGGACGCCTTCCTGCGCATGTCCCCGTGTCTTATGGATGCCTTCCTGCGCATGTCCCCCCGGGTCTTATGAACGCGCAGGACACGGTAAATGGGGTGTTATCATAGTTCCAGTGTGCACTGGAGTTCCTAGACGAGGGAGGTGGGCTAATCTCCTTCTTTCAGTGTGGCCTGGATCCAGCAGGAGAGAGAAGGTGGGTTGCTGTCGTTGCCCAGTGTGCCCTGACTCTAATCGAAAAAAGGTGGGCTGATATGATCCTTCCAGTGTGTACTGGTCTTTGTAGACGACGGAAGTGAGATGCTCTCATTACTCCAGTGTGTCATGGATATGGTAGTTGAACGATGATGGGTTATTATCCTTGCACTAGTGTGTCCTGGATGTGGCAGATGAATCACTGTGGGTTATTATCCCTCCTCTAGTGTGTCGTGGATGTGGCAGATGAATCACTGTGGGTTATTATCCCTCCTCTAGTGTGTCCTGGATGTAGCAGTTGGACGATGGTGTGATATTATTCTCGCACTAGTGTGTCCTGGATGTGGTAGATGAATCCCTGTGGGTTATTATCCCTCTTCTAGTGTGTCGTGGATGGGGCAGATGGACGATGGTGTGATATTATCCCTCCTCTAGTGTGTCCTTGATGTGGCAGTTGAACGATGATGGTGGGTTATTATCCTTGCTCTAGTGTGTCCTGAATATCACATGTGAGCGATGAATAAAGTGACTACTTCATGGATCATTTGTCAAGTGAATCAAAGGCTGTGATATCTGACATTAGTATATAGAAGACTGTTTGAATTAGCAATAAGCATCTTACCAGATAATCATGCTAACTTTGAATTGCACATAATCAAGTCGACTTACGGAGTACTGGATTTGTTATCTGCAAGTAAACTCCCTGAAGCCCTTCTGAGCTTGCGTCTGGAGGTGGACTCCATAATTAGTTTACTCGACACACAACATAGAGGCGGAGTGGGATCTGAGGGGGTTGTTACAGAGAAAGTTACCACGTGAGATCCTCACAATCCTCACAATGATGGGTTCGTATTTTCACAATGACTTCTTATCCTTAAAATAATTGTCTGAGAGCTTAAAACCTGCAGTCAAATACATACGCAAGTTGGCATCGATTTAAACCAGTACTTTCCCTCATTGAACAAATCAAAATAAGGCTTAAATAACACCTGACTATAAACAAGGAACTGTAGGTACTTTGGATGCTCTGTATCCCAGACAACACCTGCATCAAAGATAAATTATTCTCCTACAAGTGCTACAAGCTTCTGCCCCCCTGCAGAACTTGTCATTCCTCCCGTGTGAAATTATTCTCCTACAAGACTGTACCAAGCGCAGGTCACAAGTGCAACGAGGGAACAATCAATCCAAAATGTTTCCTGGTGTTACACAAACAACATTTTCACACTAACCTAGCGATGTAGCAACCTATTCTAACCTAACGTAACCTAACCCAACCCAACTAAAACTGAAAACCGAACAGTAGTGTAAAGTGAAAATTGTCAAGAGCGGTGTTGACAGAGACCAACATAGCTGCATCTCTGTCAACAGTACTCTTATACCTCGACAATAAGAGAGGTAAAGTCAGAGCCAGAAGCTTGTCGGCGAACTCTCTCAATTCCTTCATCAATAATCGAGTGTTGGATTAATTTAAACTTAAACCAGGGAAAGATATCATACTCACAAATATTAGAGCAAATATGCTTAGCCTGTACATGCCTGTGTTGTAGAAAAATACCTTATAGTCTTCACGTAACTAACACTGAACTTAAAGGCTAGTAGGGTCAAATTGATGGCAACATTGATTCTGACCACATCATTGGCACTGGTGTCCTGATTACAGTCATAACTGCATTTTAAATAAAATTTAAATCCAGGAGGTGAATCTCCTATACTCTGTGCGGGGAAGCTTTGACAAACTATAATACAGGGCACTGCAACTCCTGTCGAAATGTTCCGACACTAAATACTAACTCCTAGCATACTAAGCAATTGCTGTTATGGAAATAATAACACTAACCCAAAATAGCTTAGTGAATCATTCAAAGAATTTCGGATTTCATGGTTTCTCTTAGAAAATGGTACGCTCTGCACGTCTCCCAATCTTTATTTATCTATAAAATATTCATAAAACTAGCTGTCAGATGACTGTAAATGATAAAAAACCTCTCCTCGCGTCTCATAGAATAATTTACAGATAAAATATTAAATAAAAGTTTCTCCTGACGAAATAAAACTCGAACCATTTTGGATGTGACCAAGCGGAGAGGTAGGAGGGAGTTGTTGCTGTTGTTGTTGATTTAGGGGCGACGACGATCGTGGGATCGGATGCGCCCCGGCGTACTCGGTAAGGGTTAATCGCGAAGCCCGGAAAGGTGAAACGCCAAGCCTAATCGCAAAACAAGCGACGTCAATCACTGGAAACTAATATGCTATGCGACAAAAAAACGCAGACAGCCAGATGATTGGGGAGCCCCAGGAGTCCCTCAGGGTGACAAGCACCAGACCCCCCACATAGAGAGTACTGGGTAGCAAAACCAAAAACTCGGCCCCAACTAAAACGCAAAAGTCATCCAGTGTCCTCCGGCAGAGCAGAAGCCAGCCGCCCACCACGGCTGAGGGCACACCAGAACCCCACCAAGACCCGACAACCCCCGGCACCTATAGGCCAAGCCGGACCCCGAACACCGTCACCCCGCTGGGAGAACCAGGCAAACCACATACAAAAAAATCTATCAACAATCCCGTGATCCAGGGCGATATATGCGCCAGGCGTCGTACTACCAGACCGTTGAATAGAGATGCCAAACGGCAGAAGCAAAGGCAAAACGCGAAAACAGAACGTGATCAGGCAGCTCCCAGGCAGAGGTGTCCAGACGTCCGCTCGACGTCAAGAATGAACCAAGAATCTGGTAGGAGGGAGGAGACTTGCACTAGAGCTGCCATTAAGTAAATTTCTCCGTGAAACACACGCTACGCTACACAGAACTACCAATTGTCGAAATCCACGAGTTATTTGGAGTCAAGCTGCATACCGACCTTACCAGTTGTTGGGAAGTACCTTGTTTCCATTTTGACCTCTCACTAAATGATTTCAGGCCTGATAACATTAGTTAAAGTTGATACGGTTACGAGGCGTGAGAAATAACCGGAACGGGTAAGCATCTCAAAGTGGGGATTAGCTGTTTGGCAGCCGTGTGGAGCGGTTCTGTTTACATTCGCTTCTCAGTCTTGCATGGACATTTGGTGTGTGCACCGCTGGTGGCGTTTTTTTGTGGGCTCTGGCCTAGCAGGCCGGCAGGATGGCGTTGCCCATGCCGCCTGTAAATCGTGTGCATACGGTTGAGCTGGCCTTCTCTGGTCTGGTGAACTACTCATTGTTGGAAGTTGCTCTCCTGGATGTGCTGGGTATCAACTCTGCAGATGTGTGTGGTGTGCAGCTGGCTGGGGAACATCAGACCTTGGTTAAGCTGACTGACGCTGCGGTGTACTGGGATGTGGTCGACAAGTTTGATGGGCGTACTGTACCTTTGCCTGACGCGGCGGGTACAGTTGGTGTAACGGACTTGTGCGTTCCAGTGACGTTTGTGGTGGTGCGGGGGCTGCCGTTTGAGTTCCCAGAGAGCCTGCTCCGTCAGTTCTTTGGGGGATAAGAGAGTGTTCTCGCCTGTCGGGTGAATGTGCTGAGGTCTGGCCGTCTCCGTAGCGTCCTGATTGTTACCTGAACGGTTACCATGAAGCTGAGGAAGGCGATCCCGTCGTCGATGGTGCTGCTGGGGTTCAAGGTGCAGTGCTTTTATGCAGGACAGGAGCGCACATGTTTTCAGTGCGGTATGGCTGGACACCAGGCTGCTGGTTGCTGTAATGGCACCGTCCGGTTGGTCAGTGTCTTCCGAGAAGAGGATTTCCCACCTCTACATGGCCTTGTGGACCTGGGGGATAATCCTGCTGGGTTGAACCCCCCCCCCTGAACCTGCCGGTGACGATGGCGTTGTGGGTGCGGTGTGCCCCACTGGTGCTGACGTGCCGGGTCCGGTGTCTGTGGACCCTCCCTGGTGTGGGCGGTAGTGCGGTGGTCACGCATGTGGAGGTGCATCCTCCTCCGGTTGCCATTGCCGTCGATGTTGACGCTTCGGTGGGGCGTGGCCCTGTTTTGTCGCCGGTGGATGATGTCACGCCAGATTCTGGTGCGCTTGGATTGGTATGTGCTTCTGCCCTTGGTGTGGAACCATTGGAGACGGATGAGTTCTTGGAAGGGGGGCCACCCCTTTCGTCATCCTTCAACCACTGCTGTCCCGGTTCAACCTGGCTCTCAGACGAAGCACCGGAAGACGGCCAGGAGTGGTCGCTCCGGGGACCGAAGGCCTTCGGTGCGGAGGTTAGAACCTGATGTGCGTGTATGTGATGGTGAGGGTGTGGCGGTGTCCGTAGTAGCCCCGTCGGTGCCGGGCAGTGGAGGGTGTGTTGTGGACCCTCCTGGTGATCTCATATGTGGGTCCCCTGGGGTACGGAGCCCGGAGTGAGCAGTGGTGGATCCGGGGGACTGTGGCAGTGATGATCACGGCCTTGTGATGAAGTTACGACAGGACTCTGGCCTCCCCTCCCCTGTGGGGAGTGCGTCTCGGTCGCCTGAGATCCCGGTGGCGGCTGCTGCTGCTTCCTTGCATGGGGTGTCGGCCGGACCGGTCTGACAGTTTTGTGGTTAGATAGGGTTTATCTATTTTCCCAATGGATCTTAAATTAACGTGTGCTTCGCTGAATGTGAATGGTTTGCGTTCTGTGGCTGTGCAATTGGGCCTGGTGTCAATGCTGCGTGAGTGGAGGGTGGATGTGGCTTTTGTGCAGGAGCACAATGTGCAGGAGGTGGGGTTGTTACATCTGTTGGCTGAGGGGTTTACGGTGGTGTTAAACCCTTCACGTGGCTTGCGTGGAGGTACGTTGATCCTGCTTTCTAAGTGGGCCCCGATTTTCGTGCTTCACACGGAGATGGACGAGGGTGGTCGGGTGCTGTTAGTTTGGGTCTCCTTTTTGGGGTCTGAGGTCTCTCTCTTGAACGTGTATTTGCCTTCTGGGGCGGCGCAGAGGCAGGACCGGGAGGTTTTCTTTTCCCGTGACGTGCTGCATTTTTTGCGGCACCATACGAGGGGGATGATTTTTTGGGGTTTTTCAATTGTATTACGT